GTTATTAACTTAATTAGGGTGCGCCTAAGGCTTAGGAAGAGCCACACTCAAGGGGCCAAAGAGCAGCATGTGGCTCCCGAGCCGCGGTTTGCCGAGCCGCGGTTTGCCGACCATGGCGTAGCCTGACAGAAGCCCAGGCCAGGGCCTGGGGTCCCAGCCTCTGCTAAGCAGCAGGGTCCCCTCCGGCACTCAGAGGAGGGAGAACACTGGAGTGTGGGGAGGGAGGGGGGGCTGGTGTGTGCTCTGCCCAGGGTGGTGCCCAGGGCCCTCTCATCTCTGCTTGGAGGGCACTGCTCCCCTGGCCGCCTGCAGAGCAGTCACAGGGCCCGACCCTGTTCTGCTGGGGAGGCTCCAGCCCGGCCCCTGCCAGCTCCAACTCCTCCTCCTCCTCCCACCTCATGCCCCCGGGTCAGCCCCAAAGGCCTGGCTGCAGGCCTGTCCACTTCTGCAGGAAACATTAAATCCCTGAAACACAGATCTCAGTGAGTTCCACTTCCGCAGGCCACCCCCTCCCCCAGCAGCAGGCCAAGGTCACCTGCAGGGCGGACAGCTGGGTGCCAAGTGGCTGACACCACTGGGCAGGCCTGGGATGTCCCCGGGGAGCTGGCTCAGACAATCCCTGTGCCCCTGTGCCCCGCATACCCTGAGCACACGGTGCTGGACACCTGTTCCCCAACCCTCTCGGGCGTGCACACCGTGCTCATGCCCAGCTAGTCACCCTGTCCTAAGAAAATGCCAGCCAACCACGCATCCTCTCCACTCATGCCAGGCTCTGGCTTACCCACCTACACAAACTAACTCACCGTACCCTCCAATAGCCCTGCCAGGTGGCTATCTACCAGGATCTCATTTGACAGATGGGGCAACCGGGGTCCAGAGAGGCAGTATCCTGCGTCGCACATCTGTGACTGCGGGATCTGTGACTGCGGGATCTGTGACTGCGGGGCTGGGATCTGAACCCAGCTGCCCAGCTCACAGCTCCTGCTGCTGGACACCGCGCTGGGCGGGCACAGGCACCTCCACCCAGAGCAGGCACTGCCCGGGGACCCGCACACTCCAGGTTGCGCACGCCCCTCCCATGGGCTGCAGCGGCCCTATCCTATCCCTGCACAGTTCCAAAGCCACCCCTCCCCAGGGTTCCCCCAACAACTTGACCCCATCCATCCCCACCTATGGATGCTCTGGAAAATCTGCTATCAGCTCAGAGTAAAGCTGCAAAATTAAGTTTAATTGGGACCCCCACCCCCACCCCGCCGAGAGGCACAGAGGGGGTGTCCAGCTGGTGTTCCTGAACCTGTGCCAGGATTCGGGGTGGGGCTGTGATGGAGGAGGAAGGGCCTCAGTGTGCATATCTCTGAAATGGAGAGATGGCGGTCCTGCCTGCTGCCCGGCGTGTGAGCGCCCAGCTGCTGGTGCCCACAGAGCTCCTGGCCCCTTCCTCGTCTCTGGGGAACGGCGGGTCCTTTCTCCTGGCCAGGGTGCCAACTCCACCCCGAGGGTCACTGTCCCAACTTCCCAGATGGAGCAGTGGACGCTCAGGAGAAAGGACTTGCCAGCCTGCCCACTGGCACAGGAAGTGGGGGCGGCCTGGACTGGGCCCTGGCCTGCCTGACACAGAGCCTCTCCTCCCGCACCGGCCCTCTCCGGCCCTGGCACCGGGGAGGGGGGCTGACGGAGCGCCTCCTCTGCGCCCCCGCCGCCCGCCGGAGTTGTTTACCTGAGCCAGGCCGGGCCCCCAGAGCCTTCGTTCTCCTTCTGGGTTTAACGAGCTCGGGCGGCCCCAATTAAGGCGGATGCGCTAACGAGGCGGCTGGTTAACGGGCAGGTGCGCGCCCCGAGGGGCTGGGAGCCCAGGCTCACGGCCGACTTACCTGCCACTTGTAACTAGTGGCCTCAGTTTCCTCATCTGTAAAGTGGGCCCTAGAGCTTGCGCGGCCCAGGACCCTCGCCTCGGGAGGCCGACCCTG